CGGAGCGGGGGGAGCAGGGAGGAGGAATGAATCTGCCTGCGGGGAGTGGGACTGACCCGGCCATATGTAGATCTTGGGACACTGCCCCTGTTCTCCCCTCCCCTCCCGCCCCTCCACAAAGCATGAGTTAGTCCGGCCCGGGGATTCTATTGTCCCCCCCACACCCCCCTACCTCCCCCGAGTAGTTGCAAACTGTCTGGCTGGTAGACACACTCATGCAGCCTGAGCACATTTACCAGCCAGGCAGTTCGAAGCTACAAACTGATACATCTAGTAATAATACAATTTACCTAATGAGAAAATACCAGACATGTTATATGTCTGGTATTTTCTCAGTTTGTTTTTTATGTGTTTATATTTTTGGGCTGCAAACAGCAGTATTGGAAAATAAAGGGTTCCAACTAAAGTAAAAAGTTTGGGAAACCCTGGTCTAACCAGCTTTCTGTCTGTCTTACAGTCCATATTCCTTAACTTGTTGGCAAGAACATTATGGGTGACTATATCAAAAGCTTTGCTAAAGATGGCACTAGGAGTTTGGGGAGGACCAGAAACAACTTATTTGAACATTCATCATTTGATTAATGAATATGCAAACGAACATTACTGGTCCTCCAAAAGTTCGTGAATGGATTTACTGGTCCCCATGTCAAAAAGTTTGGGAACCCCTGGATTAGCACATCTCACATGGAACGCTCATGAGTAATAGCTATAACAACAGCTACAGTCCCTGCTGACATTGATCGGATTTGAATGGCTGATGAACGTAAAGTGCTCTATATTCTACTATTAGTCTTTTAAGCTAGCCATTATCTCATGCTTTTTATTTTCTATACCATTTATTACTTTTCTGGAAATTCTCTCACATACCCTTTAACTTTATCTAAAACAATATTGAAATAAAGGAAACAATCCAGGGTTTGATCAACCAAAGCCCTCTGACTGATCCTAAGAAATGGTTACCTCTTGCCCTCTAGCCTAGAGGAAAGGCTACCATGACACCATGGTCCTTTAGAAAAGGAGGGGGACAAAAGCAGGAACAAAAAGGAAAACATTTCCCAGGAAAATACTAACATTTCTGCAACTTTCATAAACTAAAGACTCTTTCAAGTAAGCACTAGAGAGGAATTTTAAAAACTCGGCTTTGCTGAAGCCTCTATAATACATTCTACAACGTTGGTTAGCCCAGGTAGAAAGAATAATCCACTTGATTTCCTATAGTTTTGAACAATGCTGGTATAAAGTAGTATACTGAGGAGCCCTTACATTACAATGTAATCTGCCCAATTGTGGAAAGGTTTACAACAATGCATTTTAAGCATTGTAATGTTTTTCACAAAAGGCCTACTTGCACACTGCAAGAAAAGCAGGGTCATGTCTGGAAGAAAACCACATCTTAAACACATTCAGAAGAGGATTTAATGATTAAAAGTAGACAGCTGTCCTCACACTTTTGTAGCTAATTTTTCCCCAATGTGGGACTGTCTCTGCAACAGAATCAGAGGATTCAATGTGAGGAGGTATGTGGACGTACTTGTACCTCAAAAAGGGAGGAACGTTTTAGGAGAGAGAGGCGCAATAGAGAGGTCACCTTAATTTGATTTTTGCTTGTTTGTTAAAATCAGCTGTTTTAAACTTACAGATGTGAAAGTGTTGGGAATTACTAAACATTGGCTTTGATTGACACAGACAGACAGAAAGCACAAGGAAAAAGTTCAAGTAAAACATATTAAACACGCACACACACAAAAGACTTATTATGGTAATTATGCAATGTGGATATTTTCTTATAATTGGAAAGCCGTTTAGCAACATTTCTGCTTTTGCCCTCCCAAATGCTAATTTTAGTCTGTACTGTAGATTAACTAAATTATTTAATAATTAACCAAATTTACATGTGTTTCTGAACATGCAAGAAACTATAGGGACTCAATCATACCTTGTCTTGGTTTTCCTTATTCTTGTAACACAAATTTCCAATCAAACGAATGAGGTGTGATTTAAAACCGACAGCTGGATGTGAAATTTCTGCCTCCCCAGTCACAGAATGTGTGGCAGTGAAGATATTTGTAGTCTGTTTCCCAGCCAGATGAGTTAGCCGCAAAGTATCTACATAAGGAAACAAATAGCCATTTTAATAAATTACCATATTAGGAATGAGGAGTCCTGCGGCACCTTATAGACTAACAGATTTATTGGAGCATAAGCTTTCGTGGGCAAAGACTCACTTCCTTGCCCATGAAAGCTTATGCTCCAATAAAACTGTTAGCCTAGAAGGTGCCGCAGGACCCCTCATTGCTTTTGCAGATCCAGGCTAACAGGGGTACCCTTCTGATACACATTAGGAATATCACTGTTTTTGATAGAGTAGTGCTATTTATTTTCATATACAATTTAGATTTTTGGAGAATGGTGAAAGAACATCAGTTTCCCAATTTTGTTTGTTTGCTTTTAATTTTTGGACTAGGGTTCGGTTAAAACAGGGTTGAAGCTTCACTCACTTACTCGATTTTATAATTCGGACAGAGTCATAATGCTGAGTCCAATTTTCCACAAAGGCATCATCAGAGTCATCAGAGGCTGATGATTCAGCACTTTTATTGTTGCTATCCCTTCCTAGTGCTCAGTTTACAACTGTTTCAAAGCTGAAATTTCTCTGAAACGTTGAGGCTTTGCCTCAAAATACTGACAACAAAAACAACAAATTCTGAAATTAACATTGTTATTTTTGGCCTAAGAAACAAACTTTTACAGAGAACAGGATCTATTGCTGTAATTATACTGGCTAGCAATGCCTGAAAAATATAAAGAATCACACATGGTTGCAATGTTCTAGTCTGTACCTATGTTTAATTAGTGACATGGAAGCAGAAAAATCAGGCTGAAAGCAGCAACAGGTTGAATCTCTCTAGTCTGGCAACATCTGTGGTCCAGCATGATTTTATAGTTTGTGGAATATCCACTTATGAGTATGGACAACTTTCCCATGGATCCATAAAGTTTGTTTACAGCCACAAGTCCTAGCTGTCAGTGTTCTGTTATTTAGAGATAAATTAGAGTTAAGTGTCTTTTAAGAGCCCAGTAAACAGCCAAAGTGTTAGTAATGCTGCTACACAATATTGACATCCCATGGCCGTCAGGTGCCAGACTAGAGAGGCTTAACCTCTAGCAAAACAAAGTATTGGTATACTAACTGCTGTATTGATCTCCAACCCTTCTGTGCAGTTAAGCATCTTTTAAGTACAAGTATGTATTTTGTGATTCTTGAAGATATACATCCCTTACTCAATGGATCTAGCAAATTATGTATTTGAATTTAATCAAAAAGGTCAGCTGTCACTAAGTTTAGGAACAGCACAGGAGCAATCCCAAAGGACGTTTAGAATACCTTAATATATTACTTTTATGGGCAAGCTTGTTTCAAACTAAGCTTTAAAATAACAATTTGATTAATGGGAACTTTTACTGTATTCTTTATTTTGGCTTTTAAGTACTGAGTAAGTGACAGATGAAAAATTACTATTTCATTTTTGGAGGAATTCATTAAACACATAATCAGACATTGGAAGAAAATTAAGTAGTTGTCCTTTATAAACTCATGCCATACAAATAGTGCTCTTGAGAAATGGATAAAGGTTCTGTTGGGGAAACAGAGATAACTGCAGTCTGAGGGTGTGTCTAGACTACAGAGTTTTGTCGACAAAACTATACCTGCGTCTACACTACCGCTGAGTTCTGTCGACATAACGTCGACAGAACTCAGCAGTTTTGTCGACGCTGGTAAACCTCATTTTACGAGGCATAACGTCTTCTGTCGACAGAGTTCTACAGGGTTTCGTCGACAAAGCAGCTTGCTTTGTTGACAGAACTGAATGTAGTCTAGACGCTCTTTGTTGACGGAAGCTTTGTCGACAGTATCTATCGACAAAACTTCTGTCGACAAAACCCTGTAGTCTAGACGTACCCTGAGTAAGAAAAGCAGAAGAAATTTCAGAGACAAAACATCTGAAAATGTAGATTAATAATTCACTGCTCTTATTTATTTTATTAAAATGTCAATCATGATTACTACTAATTGTGAAAAACTCATTGTCATATACAGTGCAAGGCAGTTTTGAAAACAACCAGTAGTTGGAAAGCTGTAGCATTTAACAACAACTCACCCACAGTTGTCTCAAGCAAACCAGGATAAGTTTGTAGATGTTCCAGTTGTTCATTATTTGAGGTCATTTCACAAAGAACATCAAGAAGTCGAATTGTAACTATTGCTTCCTGTAAAACAAAGGCAACATGAACATGAAATATATTGTTCAAAAACATGAATTTAGGATCAGAGAAGTATGAATTATCAGAAACATATGGCACCATGACCATTCACTAGTTTTCCACTGCTTTCTCTGGAAACTGTTAAAGATTACATTTTCATTATCAATATATATGAACAAACACTTCTTCCCAATAACCACAATTAATATATTAAAATACAATAATTTCCTCTCTACAGACTATTGTTAAACACAGTATTGCAGTTTCCATGAAAATTGAAGAGAAAGCAAAACGAAGCCATAAGGAATAACGTTTTTATTAAAAACACAGTATCTTCCAACAATAGAAATACAGAAAATTATAAGTTGAGAAAATCACGTCTGTATAAATGTTTTTTCTTTGAGTTTACCCAATGTGAGTGTCCCACTTTAAAGACACAAATGTGCCCTGCAAGACACCAATTTGTTATCCGCAAAAATCCTATATAATTGTGTGGTTGAATGAACTCTGCCTGCGAGAATTTACATTATTCTTGGGTAAACAAGCATTTGGACTATAGATGCAGTATTCTGGAAAGACAGTCTTATTTGCATATTGTTTATTGAGCCAGAGAACTATTTCTTGGTACAGACTCTCACTACTTAGGTGGACTTGGTACAGACTCTCACTACTTAGGTGGACTTTAGTCATAGGCCTATGTAAAGGGCAATGCATAAGCTGCAAACACTTCAGGAGTAGCTGCTTGGAGACGGAATGACAGACAATCTCTGAGTTACAATTACTTCCACCTTACTCTGGACAGGATGTAATTTCCTGTTGGCCTAAACCAGTAGCAAAATATAACAGATTTTTATATCACTGTTTGCAGTGTTGCTAAAGTTGTGTTAGTCCCAGAATATTAGAGAGGCCAGGTAGGTGAAGAAATATCTTTAATTGGACCAACTTTTGTCGATGAAGGAGTCAAGCTTTCCATCTCTGTGCAAATTCAAAGGCTTGCTGTCTCTTTCACAAAAAGATATCCCGTCACCTACCTTTACTCTCTATGCTATCTTGATGGTGTTTTCCCCACTCCTGTCAGTCAACATGCACACAGCACTTGCATATGTCTGCCTGCCAGATTCAAGATTCAGTTAGCTCACGTAGAAATGAAAGGGAAAATTATTCCCCATTAGTTCTTTTTATTGTCATGTAGTCATGTCCCTCTGCATGTCACCTACCATGTACTATTTCATCCTATGGCTCAGGCTACCAATTGCTATAGGAAGGCCTGGTAGGAGGAACATGTCATTTTTATACAAGATTAACATTTATCTTTGCTCTGCTTATCTGTAGAAAGAACACTTTGTATAGAAGTAAACCCTTCAGCTCCAAAACACTCCATCCTCCCAGACAAGACCAATAAAACAAAACTGTGGCATTTGTAGTGCAATTTATTTTGGAGATCAGACTAGCCAAAATTAATTGTGAATATTTTGAAAAATTGGAACAAAAAAAGGTTGGTAAATAAATTAACTTTACTGAATTTGAGTAAGTTTCCCAACAGAGAAAAATCCTCTCTAGCCATGAACAAAGTCAGTCATACAAATTTGAGGGACATTCCTATTAAGGGGATATGTGAGCTAGAAACTGATGGAAGAGTGAAAGGGCTAAAAAACAGGCTTATCAACTACTTAAAATAATTTATGTTAGCTATGGAGCAGGTGCATAATGTCAACTTCTAATTGGCTTGGGATCAATCGTATGTTGTCTGTGGAAGATGACATCATCTAAAGAAAAATACTTAGATTCTTTGCAGGCACAATCCCATTACTGCACTTGTAAAATCATACTACCCTATTCTTCACTATTCTTGCCAATCCTTTTCTTTTATTCAGTTATTGGCAACTTAAATTCCAGGACAGTAAATTATCTACATGTCTCCAAAACTAATGGGTTTAGTATACGGATAGTGATTTTTGTGTTTATATCCAAGGAGGACTGAATTGTACTGCAAGATAGGGCAATCTGCTATGACAGATTGTCTCTCTTACCTTAAATATGAGCAGACTAAAAGGAAGTGTGGTTTTGTTGTTGTTGTTGTTGTTTTAAATAACTGAAAACATAGAATACTTGGAAAACTACCAAATAGGACGAAGAAGTTGGATGGAAATCTCTTCTCAGTATTCTTTCCTTCAATTTAATTTTAAGTTGCCATCTTTTCTGGTAGTACTCAATTAAGTTCTTTCACTTCTCTAAAAGTAGTCCAACTTCAAATTCTTCTCGGATAGACTGGAAAGGAATGCTGTAGGATACCTTTCTCCCATTCTTAGTTTTGCTATCCACTCAAAACCCTCTTCTCTCAGAGGGATATCTGAGAGCATTATAAACAAGGTTTCCCACATATAACACAAAACGCTTAGAATATCTTTAATTCTTGAACACTACAAATATGCTAACATGTTTCAGACAGCTAAAATGCAGTTTAATAGTAATGTAAAAACCCATGCTTTTTCATTTGCATTTTAACTAGACTTATTACAGAAGCTTGTTCCTAAAGACTGTTTAAAACAATGATACTACAAACTGCTTTAATTTTAATAGTTACAAGGTACTTTTTATTCCAACTACAGTATTATACTGGAAAACAAAATTTTGACATAGTATGGTGCTCCTCCTGCTGGAAAGAAGTGGGTTATGACTTGTAAAAAAAAGTTTGCCATTTCCAAGTTTAGATCTTTAGTCTTTTTTAAACAGGCTTCTTCATTTTCTGTGAGTAGAAGTAACTGAAGTTAGCAAGTTAAAGATAACTGTACCATGAGATGTCACATACTACTTTCTTGAGTTCTCATGTAACAGTTAAAGTGTTTTGTTAAATGTAAGCTTGGTAAGCATTTTCCCTCCACTCTTCACAGGATACAAGGTTTTTCAGGTGTTTTGCATTAAAAAAAAAAGCACTAAAAAGCTAGCTGAAGGTCAGAGACACCCAGATTGAGGTCAATACCAATTGGCATTCCATGGACAAGGTGAGAATATGTAAGACAGACATAGTATTGATTTTCCCTGTAATAGGTATATTTTATAATCATTACCTATTACTGTCATGGGGTATTACAGACATGGTGGTTATTGATGTTTGTATTTCTGGAGATGGGTCAGAGTTATGCCTTCACACTTGGAAAGTTGAAAGTGAAATCCTCCACTAACCAATACAGAAAAACTAGATTAGCAGAGATTCCTACTTCAAGACAGCAAAGGCCTTCTTAGCATACACTACGGGGCATGACAACGCTGAAGAGACTCTCTTGTACGCGCCTCCCTCCTCGGCACAAGAAGGAAAAAAAAAAAAAACCTACCCAAAAGCTAAATTTTACATTACAATATGAAACATTATCTATATAATTAGCCAAGTGCATTTTTAAAATTCACTAATTTTTAAATGTCTACATTTTATACTTATCCTATTTAATTTGTAATTAAATTATCTTATTCAATTTGTTATCTAGTTCAGACATTTTTGTCGAACAACAAGATAACAAGATTACAACTCCATCTATTTTTGTTTCAAACCAATTTAAAAAACTAGTAAAAAATGCTATTTTTGTTCAGCAAATTTATTTTGGCTTCCAGGGTAACTATTTTGACTAAGACTATTTGACTGTAATAAAATTCACAATCAAAAAATAAATAGGCACAGACCTTAGTAAAACTAGAACAAAGACTTCCAACTAAAACTAAAAATGACCAAAAAAATAACAATTTTCCACTAACGCGGCTCATAATGTTGAGTAAAACATTATTGTCTGGAAGCACTGATTTTTTTAGTCAACTTCACATAGGAGTGAAAGATCTTCTGAGGAATTTCATCCCATATCTCAGTAGAGGCAATCTACTGTGCCGCAGTATGTTGAGACTTAAGAAAAACTGAAAATCTTGTGATCTCTACTGCTGTTTCATCATCCAAAGGAAGTTTGAGAATACGAAGAAAATTATACCATTACAGCTATGGGGGTTATTGATGTCTTTACTTCTGGAGATGGGTCAGAGTTATGCCTTCACACTTGGAAAGCTGAAAGTGAAATCCTCCACTAACCAATACAGAAAAACTAGATAAGCAGAAATTCCTACTTCAAGACAGCGAAGGCCTTCTTAGCATATCTGAACCAACACATACTAGCCACTTCACATTCTAACAGTGCTCCTGAAGTCTTACCTCATCTTCAGTCTTTGTAGCAGAAGTTAATTTGAGTACATCATGACATTTCTCCTGGAAACAGCTTGCAAAAAACTCTGCATCTTTCAGGAGTACAGCCATTTCATCATTGGTCATTGAATTGTTCTCACTTATTTTGGCCATTATCAGTTCTAGCAAAGTAATCCTGAAATTAAAATGAATAAACAAATACATAATCTTATTAACTAAATTTACAAAGCCAACTAAAACTAATAGAGTAAATGAAAAGTTAAAAACTTTATCTAGTAAATTCACCTCTGGTACTATCATGTCTGATCTGCAAAGGAGCTTTAGACAGCAATTAACTTTCACCAGATGTTCTGGTAAATTTTTGTACACCTTTCAACCAAGACAGTCTAGGCAGAAAGAGCTAGTCAAACCGACTTTCTGCTTTTGTGCTTGACAACGCTCCTGTTATTGCACATCCCACAAAATTAGAGAGGATGGGGAGAAGAACATAAAATAACTTTAAAGGGAAATTTTAAACAGAAAAGTGTTTAATTCAACCAAATACACACACACAACCTAAACTACTTGACAGCACCCCTTTAAGTGTGCCTTCCACTTTACTTTTACTTAATTTTGTGTATATAAATATACAAACTCTTTCCTTCCTGACAGAAAACTACAAATAAAAATTTGTGTTGAGCGGGGAAGTTTGGGGTCTTGGGAAAAAAACCAAAAATCTAGGAAAAATGTCATTATCTAATGTAGCTATAATAAAATAGCCACTAGATCAGCTGCAGAAATTCTCCAGCCCACATTAACCATTAAAAGTCCTATTCAAAATTATGAAATTTTGTCAACTAACAAGTAAGTGAACAAAATAAGATTGTTTGTTCAAAAGGATACTTTGGTCACTTACTCTGATAATTATACTTTAATTTTATTTCTGATATATCAATTCACAATGCAAACTTCGTATACAAAAATGGGACTTTACACATAAAAGTCTTCATAATATGACACCTCACTTCAGCACTCCTGATTAAACTTCTGCTGAGGAGAGAGTGGGGATTAGTAAGATTCTACTGTCATTCTCTCATCTTGAAAGAATTTTCTTTATTGAACACATTCAAGGGCAGGCTTAGAGTTTTCTTTGAATGAAATATTTGCAATTCAGATGTAGAGACTGACATTTCAAATTAAATTTGCATTTGAACTACTCCACCAGTTTAATTTGCCAAGTGAGTTGTCACAATGAGTGGAAAAGAGATTTTTTTTCATATGGAAAAGAATGGTCACAACTTTATTAAACCCAAAAAACTGACTAAGGTAAAAGGCAGGAAGTTCTTCCTGAACAAAACCCAGTATCTCACAAATACAGTGAAGCTGATTTTAAGCACCTCAGGGGCCTGTGAAAATCCTTTTAATTAATGTGATAGGAAATTATACTCAGTACATTGGGGATAAAACGGAGTCATCACAAGATAAGATGTTTTTTCATAAGCATCACTTCAAAGATTTTACTATAAACCTGATGAGGCCCCATCGCAGGATAGGTGTGCCACTTAAGCTTAGGTAAAGGAACACATTCCTACCAAATTTCTCTGTCCATAACAAACTATCTGAAGCCAGTTGCCAAACATCTCCAAATCTGTGGGAATAACTGTTCCCTTTTCTGGGACATGGCAACTTCATGCAATGGCTACCATAGAGTTAGCACTATATTACATTGACTGTTGCTGCTTTCTAGGGTTTGTCAAACAATACCGTTAAAAATGAGAGCCACCACCACAGTTCAATATGAAATACAGATAATTCTAGGTTTTACTCAGAGTGAAAATTATGTAATATATGCTATGCATGTGGTCAGATCATAATAGTCCCCATAAACTGGGCCAGAAAAATCTATGAATATGCATATGCTTGAGGGTTATTAAATTCAGTAACCTCCTCAGTCTAAAATCCGGTCATTTTTCCAATAAATGTCAATTGTATTTTGAAAGACAATATGAAAAAACATCATTCTAAAGCTCTATGAAAGTAAACTAAAGATATTTGGCACAGAAAATATCAAGAGACGATCAGCTAACACGGCAACATGGTAATATCTTTTACTGGATCAACTATGTCTGGTAAAAAGCTTTTAAGCTTACACAGAGCTGTTCTTCAGGTATGGGGAAAGCACTCCAAGTGCTACTGCTAAATACAAGGCAGAATAGATTATTAAGCATAAGGAGGTAACATACTGCAAAAAAGAATTTCAAGGTGAAATGGGAAGTTAACACTTCTGCAGGAATAGGACAAAGAATGGTCAGTAGTGCATAAATCTAGTATGTTTGATTCCATGATTTTTATTATCTAACAAAGGTCGGAACTAAGCTTGCAGGCCCATCTTTTGAAAGTATTGCACAGGTTTCCTTTGAAGACAAGGACTGAGGATACATCTACACTGTGGGCTAAAGTCAAGTTAAGCTACGCAACTTCAGCTACATTAATTGCATAGCTGAAATCAAAGTACCTTAACTTGACATTTTATGCTATCTACATAGCAGGAAATCAAAGAAACCGTTACCCCTCATCTTCTGTCCTAAACCTCCTCCTATATTTTTGCTCTTTCTGTTGTAGTTTTCAACCCATCCCATCCTTCCCCTTTCCCCAGATTTTCACAGTTCTCTGTCCAGTTTTTAAGTCATACTGCCCAGGACACTGCCATCTTCCCTGAGGGCAGTCTGACAGTAGTTCCATGGAAAACAATGACGAGATGAGCATCTTGCACCTGCAAAAGCAATAGTTGGTGGCAGTCAACCTAGTGCAGGCACTCTTTTGGCTTCCGTCCCACTGATGATAATTTGAGGGATAATTGCAACTTTGAAGAAGGGCAAAAATATGCAAGGAAAAGAGAACAGGACTATGAGACAAAAGCTCTCTTCTAATTAAACCATCTTCCTGTTGTTTATATTCTCAAGAGTTGACAATTTTAACCTTACATCAACTTTAGGCTTTATCCCTTGTAAAAAATGTGAACCCTTACAAATGCAAAATACTTGTTTTGTTTTTTCAAGACTGAAGTTTTCAAATGTACAATGAAGATCTTAAGTTAAATAATCATAAGCAAATACACATCAATAATTTCCAGCATCAACTGAACAGACTGAAGCAAACACACCATCCAGAGCAAATCCAGTCTATCAGATTTCCTTTTATTTGTGCTATGAACAGCTGAGTATATTTCAAATGTAACCCTGAAGTGCAGCAGGGTGCGGTACTCTTATGAAATCAAGGCACAAGCATGAAATTTTGTCTTTAATTTTTTTTCTTTACTGAGTAATGGCGCCAACCTGGATTCTGCAACCCTACATAAATCACTGCCAGTTGTGGCTAAGTTGTAATGTTAACCAACCAATTTAAAACCATTACTGACATAGAAACATGTATTTAGAGATGATGTGCCAGCTACGAAACCACACGGTTTTTCAATCATGTGAACAGGATACTGTATATGGAATGCTAAATACTAAAAGCCACAATGGTTTTTGGGGTTACCTTTCTTGATTGCTCAGTTTGGCATACATGACTTTTACCAGTTCTGGACATTGCAGCAAATGGTCTGTAAAAATCAAGAACCTAAAGAACGGGAGAAAAATGTGTTATTGGTTTTACAGCAAAAAAAATAGTTATTTCACATTTACTCTATGGTTCACTTATACTACTCTTTAGGATGTTTGTAATTTTAATTGGCTCCTTTCACAATAATAGTTTTATCTGCTAAAAGATACGTCTAGAGAACACTTCCTTGACTGAATACAGACCAGTGTGCATCAAACTCAGATATATTCAAGCAACTGAAGGAAAGCTGGACAAATCTTTTTCCAGTTATAGAAAAGGGGAAAAAAAAAAAAAAAAACACTTACCACAGTTCAAAGTAATAAAATGTCAATCCAAGTAATTATAGACCTCAGCAAAAAGCCAACATTGAAAATTGTTACACCATTCATGTAACAAATAATCAAGAGAAATGTTCTACATACAATTTTGAAGAAAAAAATTAACTACTCAAACAGCAGGAAACTGATTTTTTTTCCCAGTACATAAAGCAGTAAATCATTGGTCTCAGGTTACAAAGAAAACATCTCTGTCATAAAAGAAGATCTGAAACCAATATTAGAAACTAACTTTTGGAAGCTGCCAAGCAGTAATTTACAGGTACAATTATATGTATACTAATGCCCTGATTATCAGCCTTACCTGTACCACTAACTCATTCAGTGTTATGTGTACCAACTATACAGTAAAAATGATGACCTCACTAAATTCACCCATATTCACTATCCAAATTCTTGGATCTGCAAACAATGCAGTTGAACATGTTTATTTTCAAATCAACTTTCTAGAAGCTCTAACAGCATGCTACATATATATTTAAACATGCTGCATGTTTAAATGTACTGTAAATAGAGTACATTTTATTCAACTCTTGATTACAAATTCAAAATAATTAGGACTGAGTCATGTGACAAAAACAGGACACCTTGAAGCCCACAAGAAGGGACACGAAAAAGGCAGCCAACTCTCTCTACTCTCAACTCTCCCTCCTCCCATTTGCATAAAAAGGTTGCAGGGATAATCTACTGCATCTTGAAACTGCTCCAGCCTTAATAAAAAGTCTGCTTGGAACACAAACTCAACGAAGTCTGGAGCAAAGAGTACAAGGTCCTAAAGATTAATAATTATGTTATTTCTCATGCCACCTATGGGTTTATAATGTATGATTCACAGTCTATTTACTGAGAAACATGGGGGGGAGGGGTTGGAAGCCCCATTTTATAATGTTACTGTTTTTATTATTATTTGTGCACAAAATAGAGGAAAACAATGCCACTATAGATACAAAGGCAACTAGTAACAAATAAGAAAACTATCTTCATTTAAACTTTGTTGTAGCTACACTTAAACATATGACCAGAAGTGATGGTAAAGAAATCTAGCACCTCAAAAAAAGAAAGCACAATAGAAAGATGAATCTTGTACCAGAGATGATTATGTTGCAATTTAACAAATGACTAGGATATAGTACCCATAACTGTTAATGTATATTTACATAAATGCTGGTCATAAGTATGACAACTGCATATATCTACACAATAATGGAATAATTTACATGGTTTTAGTACACAACTCGCAGTGACAAAAATGGAAGTCTGGCACCTAAATCCCCATTCTGCACGTGCACAGTGAGTGAATACACCACTATAATCATACCTTGCACTTTACTGTAACAATCTTTTGAACACTATATGCCTTGTGACGTATTATTTGAAAACTAATAGCTTACTGATCAATAACATGATAAAATGTGTCTAGCCACATATATACAGTTACAAAGCTGAAATTAGGTTTGGAATGTTTGTTTACCCCATAAGTTTAGGTATACAAGATTCTCGAAATACAAAGGATAAAATGATGCCACTGATGCCAGGTGTCAAAGTTGCTGGTCAAGTGGCCATTCTTTAGGAAGGAAGGGAGGCAGGAACAAACAGATCTGTAGCTTAGCAAAGAGTACTGAAAACCTTTCACCATCAGTCTCCATGAATCCAACAAGAATGAACTTTATGTAAGGATAATTCTCAGGAAACTCCATTTCAAAGGGAGACTAGACTATAAAGTAAGGAGTAAAATATCCCAAGGCATCTCTTCCCATGCATTTCTCACTTAAGAGGCCAAAAGAAGCCAGCCTATTTGGCTCAGAATGATGCTGACCTGAAATTTGTTCAGCCCTATTGCTGGGAGCATGTGGTAGGTAAGCTTACCTCTCGAAGTGTAGTTTCTTGTAAAGCCTTGTATTGGTTTAAAAACTTTTTCTTGTAATTTAATAAACTCCCAACATCCCCAGCACCCCGACCCCATGCTTACCTGGTTCCACAAGACTGCCAGCACAAAATGGCTGCCAGCAAAAAGACCAAGGGGAAGCAATGACTCATGATTCCCCTGGGTCTAAGTGCTCAACCGCTCCCCTGTTCCTAATCCCTGCACTCACTCTTAAAGGGGACATGCTGTTTTATTTTAATTTTTTTTTTTGCTTAATAAGTCTTGGAGTCCTTTCCCCTCCCCCTCCCCCCCCAGCAACTTTGGTCTCCCCCCTTTTTTTCTTCCACCAAACTTTTTCCCGGTGTTTTTTTTGGGGGGGGGGGCGAGTCGGGGGGGAGGGTGTTCGGTATTTTTGTTTCAACCATCTGGCAACCCTAGGTAGAACCCAAAGTGTGGCTCAAACGCTGATTACAAGCTGCTGGGGTCACAGCTGCTGGACCAGGCCTATCGCGCTACACAGGCTCTCAGAGCAGGACCTGCATGCTGGCAGGCCGTACATGAGTGGCCCACGTGGAAACTATAGCAACAAAACATTGTGAGGCACCCAAGTTGCAGGGCAAGGACAGCATGGCCCTCATTGGTCTGGACTGCACCTCAGAACGTCAACCATCTTAGATAAAGGTATTATTTTCTTAAGTTACATATCTGACTCCCAAAATAAGCGTCCAATAAATTTAAATAACCAACCAAACCTGAAGCATATGGAAAAACAAGAAATCCCTTTTCAGACTTTATGAATAGCAACATCAAAACCAAAAGATATGCATTTTAATAGCCCACAATGCACCAGAACAGGGCAATCTGAGGCTTAAGAAATCAAAAAAACTGTAGCTGAATTTGCTGTTATGAAAACCTACTTTCCACAAAGACAGCTCATTTTAGCCTCAGGTGCAAATCTCTTCCACCAGTGCAACAAAATTGCACTCAAAAATATGATTTAAGTTCACATTTTCAATTCTGCAGTTAAAGATTAAATCCACATTTTTAGGCTTTTCGCAGTTTATAATGCTGCACAACAATTTGCTTGGACTTTTGTCTTCTACTTAAAATCTGCTACTATTTAAGGCTTGTATATACAATGCACCAGCAAAGCACCCTAGAACTTGATTTACAGAGCTTTCTAGTATGTTGTGCTGTAATTATCCTGTGTGGACTCTGCCAGCATACTCCAAAAGGTATCTAATTCATGTGATGTAGTCCAGTTTCAAGCAGGACTGACTGCATTAACATAATCTAGGTATCTTTTAGACCATACCAACAGGCTCTAAATGGGGCAGTTAGTGCAATACTGTATGTTAGTGTGCTTTATAGATTACATCCTTCCGGCACACTTTGTGGTGCTGTGCACACAAACCCCCATCTGGAATAAAAGGACATCACTTCCAACAGGTATTAGTCAAAGCACAAGCATTCCAACTTAGCACAGATCTATTTCCCCAACTACACATGCTAGTCCTATGCATATTGCTAGGAGACTAGCGACCTAAAGAGTGAAGTACAGTGATGCACAGCCTGTATTTTGGACCTTTCTGGTATGCTTCAGAAAAGTGGTTTCATGGATTCAGTTTATTAATATGGACATAGCAATTCTGTTTGTCTTTCTTGATCCCAAAGATAAAATTTTCATTCAGACTCCCAGATATCTCTTGCCACGCGTAGATTCCTTCTCATCTTCCCCTTCCTCTCGCATCGTTATTAACTCATGTAGAGTACATAAAAAAATTGCAAAAGCAGCGAGGAGTCCTGTGGCACCTCATAGACTAACTGAAGTGTTGGAGCATAAGCTTTCATGGGCAAAGACCCACTTCGTCAGATGCATGTAGTGGAAATTTTGCAGGACTCCTCGCCGCTTTTGCAGATTCAGACTAACACAGCTACCCCTCTGATAAAAAAATTGGAGAGCTATCATCCTTTAAGCACATACCACCAAAAGGGATATTAGAGAAGAAAGGCAGGCATGCACACAGTCACACGGAAACTTGTTTACACTCCTACTCTGCCTGCAGATTTTGGTGGTAGCAATATAGGAAACAGAAATAAAAGCTAAAATGTACAATCCCCTACACTCGCCTGTTCTGTATTGTTAAAAAAAAAAAAAAAAACCACAAGCCTCCCCCTAGTTTACAATAGTTATTTTTTACTTGCCAACTCAATATGAGGCATTTCAGATAAGCCACCATGCTTCAAAAAGATTTAATTGTGCTCAGAATCCAACAACAGAACTGCTGCAATAAATTGGTGAGCACTGCAATTTAGAAAAGGAAACAGTGAAAATTAGAGTTGTTATATAAACAGAATACAGTAACAAATGAATAGTGTTAAATATGCCAATTTCCTGGGCTGTCTTTAGATTAAGTGTTTGGCTAAAATCCTAAAAAAATCAAGTGCTCACAAGTAGATAAACATAGGCAATGTTCAGTTCAAACTCTTACAATAGCACAAGGGATATATTGTACCAAACTGAATTTGAGAGGTGGCCAAGATGAAATGGTATAAGCCACATTTATACTCCCTATATACCAAACATATGAGATGAGCAATGAGTTTGGCCCAACCAAAGCTTGGTGTAAGCAGTTTATCATAAACAGGAGTGCTCCAATTTTATGTTGATTTGTATTAGCAACCCTACTGAGTGGTATTTTACACTTCAGAAATGAAATTATAGTGATCCTCTTCTTACCACTTTATATTAAATGTGATATCTTCAAAAGAATTAAATGAGAATACATTGTACCACATTATTTGTATTATTGTGATTT